GGCAGAGACCCCCAGGGGTGGGACCACCAACCCGAGCCCCCACCGAGACACAGAGCTGAGCCTGAGGGGTGCGGAGCCACAGAACCAAGAGCTTGGAGAAGACCTCCGAGATGACACAGCCTGAATGCCCACCTATGGGCAACAGCTCCCAGAGTGGGATGGGGCTGAACCGGGGGTGTGGGGTGGAGGTTTGGGATGGGGGTGGAGGTTTGGGATGGGGGTGGAGGTCCCTCAGCGGTCACTCACGTCTCAAAGAGGTGCCGCACGATGAGGAAGAGGAAGGCCATGGGGATGGTGATGTAGAGGTCGGAGGCTTTGGCGTAAACGCGCCCATCGCGGTCCTCCAAATCGGCCCAGGTGAGGTTTGCAGGCAGCCAGAGCCGCTCCCACCAGAAATAACTGCACAGCGTCTGGAACATCCTGCAGGACGGGGGGGGTGAGGGGTGAAAACCCCCCAAGGGGCACAGAACCACGGAGCCAAAGAGCCCGTGGGGCCACCAAGGAGAAGCGGCACCCAGAATGGGAATGAGCCCCAGTGACCCCAAAGGGCCCCAATGGGCCTCAGCACCCCCAAAGCTCCCCAATGACCCCAAAGTCCCCATAGGGCCCCAATGCCCCCAAAGCCCCAGCGGGCCCAAATGCTTCCAAACGGCCCCAATGCCTCCAAAGGGCCCCAATGGGCCTCAATGCCTCCAAAGGACCCCAATGCCCCCAAAGGGCCCCAGTGGGCCCCAATGCTCCCAAACCCCCACTTTGGGGTCACGGCAGATCCCCGCGGATCGCCCCGGTCCGGCGCGGACTTTGACCGGCGCTGTGCGATCATTAACCCGCCCATTCCGTTCCCGGATCCCCGCGGCCCATCGCGGCCTTTCCTTCGGGGCACAAAGCGGCGGGGCTCCCCGCAGGGCGCAGCGGGGCGGACGGCGCTCACGGTCGCCCTCCGGGTTTCCTTTGGGCACCGAACCGAGCCGCCCAACCCCTCGGTTCCCGTTCGCCGTTGCGGCCCCAAAGCGCTCCCCGCTCCCCCTCCCCCCCCCGCGGGGCCGCCCCGGTCCCACCCCGGGCCTACCGCGGCCTTCCGGAGCTCCGAGCCCGGGGCGGGGGGGAATGAAGGGGCTGCCAAAATGGCGGCCGGACCGCGAGACCGCGCCGCTCCCACTCCCCGCCCCCCCCACCCCACTCACTCCGCTGCCCGCCGCCTCAGCGCCGCCGCCGCCGCCGCCCCCCCCGCGCCCCGCAGAGGGCGGCAGTGACGTCACCGCCAACGCCGCCGCCGGGCGGACCCGGGGCGGGGGGCGGGGCTTTTGCGGGGGGTGGGCGTGGCCTGGCGCGTGCCGGATTTTTCCTGGGGAGTGGGCGTGGTCTGGGGGCGGGGTGGGCGTGGCCGCCGGCCCGCGAGAGAATCGTCGCCGCGGGCGATGCCGGGAAGGGGCGGGGCTTCACGGGAGGGGAGCGCGGGGGTCACGCGTGGCCCCGGGAGCGCGCGCCCTGTGGGCGGTCCGTAGCGGGGTGCGGTGCGGTGCCGTGCGGTGCGGACGCGGCCCCTGCCTTCCCCGCCAGCCCTCCTCGCAGCGCCGCTATGGGCACCCCGCCCACCCCACGCAGCGCCTCACCCCCCCGTGACCCCCACGTCCCTACAGCCCCCCACGCGCCCCCTCTCGCAGCCTGTGTGGTCCCACGGCCCCCCGCACCCCTCTATTCATCCCTGTGGACACCCCGCTCCTCCCCCCGCAGCTCTTTGGACACCTCTGCACCCCCCAACACCCCCCCCCAAACAGCCCCTACAGCCACCCCTGCATCCCCCATGTCACCCCCACCCCCTCCTCTGTCCGTACCCAGGGCTCCTACCCTCCTACAGCTACTCCTGTGCTCCCCCCACCGTCCCCCCTGACCCCAACACAGCCCTCACCCACCCCATCCCTCCCTCCAGCCCCTATAGCCGACCCCACACCCCACACCACCCCTCCATCCCCAACAGCACCCACTGCAATGGGCAAAGTCCTTTATTGGCTAAGGCGATGCTGTGGGAGGGGGCACACATCTCCCCCCCATGCGGCCCCCCCACTCCTGAGGGTCCATAGTGAGGGGGGACAGGGGGGGAACCCTGCTCCCACAGGTTCCTCACCCCCATGTTAAGGCCACTGGAAAAACAGGGACGGGTCCCAGCAGTGTGCAAGGAGAGACCCCCCACCCCCACATCTCACACCACATCGTCCCCAGGATCTGCTGAGGGTCCCTGCAGGACGGGGGGCCCAGGGGGGGGGTCGGCTACAGGAGGGTGCAGTCCGAGTTCTGCTTGTGCCGCTGCCTCCGCTCCGGCGTCGGGCGGCCGCCCTGCTGCGCTCGGCCCTACAGACAGACAGCAGGGATGGGGACGGGGGGAGGACAGAGCAGAGGAGCACAAAGAGGGGACCCTGATACCTGCGGGGGGGCCGGGGGGGGCCGCTGCTGCTGCTGCTGCTGCTGCTGGTACTCCTCCTGCTGCAGCTGCCGTGCCAGCTCCAGGTCGCTGAGCACCGAGGGGCCCTGGCCCTGCTGCTGCTGCAGGGAAAGGGCCATCATGTAGTCCTGGGCACGGAGGGAAGCACAGAGAGCGGTGGGCACGGTGCAGGGGGCACCCACCCTGCGGGGGGGCTCCCGCCCCCTTGTGAGCCCTCACCTGGTCCAGCTGGCTCTGCTCTGGCGCGGCTGCCTCTTTGCCCAGGGCATGGCTGAGGTGGAACTGCGTGTCACAGAAGCAGCTGTCGCCATCCACGTTGTGAAGGCTCTCCCACACTACGCGCTCCTCCTGCAGGAAGCCCTGGTCCGTCACCAGCAAGTACAGGTGGCCCTGTGGACAGGGGAGGGGGACAGAGAGACTCAGAACCATGGGGGGGACTTACAGCCCCCTTCCCTTCTGCATGCTGGCTGCCCCCGGCGACTCAGGCTGTGCTGCTCCATCCATGGGGCCACGCTGCCCCCACGAGCGAGGAATCCCTTCCCAACCTCTCCTCTTTCAGCTTAAACCTCCCTCCCTGGTCCCATCCCCATATAAAGTCACCCTGCATCTGTGTTCAGCCCTGGAGGGCTGTGCCCGGGCTGCGCTGCCCAGGGACTGTCCCTGCAGGGCAGCAGGGCAGGGATCAGCACTGGGTCACAGCGCACCTTGTGCTTTATCATAGTGCTGAAGTGGTTGTTGCGGAAGAAGACGCTCAGCTCCTCCTCCTTCACGGCGGCCGTCAGCTCGCACAGCCCATGGTACGTGAGCTGGGAGGCTGTGGACTCCAGGAACTGCTCAGCAATCAGCCCTGCGGGTGGGGGGGACGTGAGAGCGGGGCCGGGGCGGTGCTGAGCCCCCCAGCACGGCTCCCACCTTCAGTCACCAGGTTGGGGTCGCCAGAGTGTTTGCAGGTGATGATCTTCTCCACCAGTTGGTTGTAGCTCAGTTTGCCCACGGCTCGCACCGCCTCAGGGCTCTGAAACGGGGGGGGGGGGGTGCAGGAAATGGTGAGGATGGGAGAAATCACACCGAGGGGGGGCGGCTGCCACGTCCTGCCCCGACCCAGGGGGCTCAGCCCCACTGCGGCGTCCCTCGGGGCCAGCGGTGCCCCAGAGAGAGCCCAGCCCCAGCGCCCACCTGCGGGTCCACCAGCCAGCCGTGGTACAGCGGGACGTTGAGGAGGTCGAAGACGATGCACTCTGGTGTGTACTCGAAGTCGGAGACGCCCGTGAAGCGAACGTTCACATCCAGACCCGTGGAGAGCTTGGGCAGCACCATCATGGTGTCATTGACGTTCTGGGGGGGGGGAGCGGCACCAGGTCCTGCTCAGGAGGAGCCCACGGCCCAGCGCCGCGCAACGGCCGCGCTCAGAGCTGGGAGATGTGAGGCACCCCGCGGCCCTCGCGCCGTGCACAGCAGGGAAATGGGGGGGCGGCCCCCGTCCCGCCGTGCTGCCCACCTGCTGGAAGTTCAGCTGCAGCCCCTCCGACTTCTCCTGGGGTTTGATGGACAGGATGCAGTCCCCTTGGATGCAGTGCAGAACGGTCACTGCGGGGCTCCCAGCGGCGCACGGAGCCCAGCGCAGCTCAGCCCCACCTTGGGAATCCCTCCCCCGTCTGTTGCTCCTCACCCCAACCAAAGCCCCCCAGAAGAAAGGGTCTGGGCCCCACGTCCCCCTCCTCCTCTGCACCCAGAGGCAATATCCCTCAGAATCTGTGCTCAGGGAGCGCGGCAGGAGGACGGACCCCACGGGCAGCACTGCAATGGACCAACGGGTGGCAGATGGGCCACTGCCTCACACCCAGCCCCCAAACCCAGAGTGACAGCACTGCCCCCCCCCCCCCCACTCACCCAGATGTGCCATCAGCTCTTCCGATGTCACCACCTCCTTCTGTGGGGGCAGCTTCACCTGGAAGCACATTGGATGGGGGGGGATGGTCAGAAGAGCCCCCCAGCTCGGCAGCACAGACCAAGCTGGATGAGGCGGCAGGCTGAGACGCCTTCGCCCTCCTTTTCCTTCCCACCGTGTCACCTCACAGCCCCCAGCCGCCCCCCCCACAAGTCCCTATTGGGGTTCCATGGAGCAAATGTGTCCGACCCCATGGCCCCCCCACTGCTCACCTTCCACTGCAAGAAGAGGATGTTCATGATGGCCAGCAGTGGGCAGGGTCCGTTCTCACTCTGGGTGATGATGGGCGTCCGTTCTCCCTTCCACGTGATCCATTTCACACAGTAGAAATCCGGCTCAGGCTCACGGCTGGGGGCGCGGGCGCTGGGGGGCTCAGCCGCTGCCTGGGGGGATGCATCGCCCTCCCTGGGGGTGGGCAGCTCCTCCTGGGCACCTCGGCTTCCACTCTCCTGCTGCTCAGCGGGCTCCTCTGTGGTGCTGGGATGGGGCACCTTGTCCCGCAGTGCCGGGCTGTGCCCGCTGGCAGACGGAAGTTCCCCCTCTTGTTCGGACCCCCCCGCATCCCGTGGTGGCTGGCGGGGCTCAGGGCTCTTTGGGCATTGGGCATCGTCCCCCGTGGTGCTGAGCATCGCCCCCAGCTCAGACTGCAGCTCCATCCCGGCAGCTCAGAGCATCTGACAGCAGCGCAGTGTGGTCCCGAGGATCCTCTGATGGGGTGGATGCTTCCAACAGAGCACTCAGTTCCGCCCTGCCGCGGTCCCAACCTCCGCTTTCTTAGGATGCAAAGTCTGGATACTCCACAAAAAAGCACATGTGGAGCCCGACTCCCCCGCCAGGCACTGCCTGTCGCTTCAAAACAACGGGAGCAATCCAAAGGAGCGCCGACCTGAGGCACCAAACCGCACAGCAGAGCTGAAAGGCCCCTCCAGGGGCTGCCGGCCCGCAGGCGCTGCTGGAGGGCAGCGCTGGGCGCTGGGTGTCCTCACAAGCTTCTCCTGCTCCGCTCGGCTGCTCGCTGTGGATGCCAGGCAGCGCTGCCCCAGCTCTGCCTCTGTGTTTGCATCCGCGTCCCAGCCGCCGGCAGCTCAGCAGGCTGTGCTCCCTGTGCCCCCAGCAGCAAGGAGCGAGGGCTGCGAGAGCCGCCAGAGCCGAGCTGAGGGCTGAAGCGTTCCACCCGCACCCTTATCCTGCTGGCAGCCCAGCCAGAGCCACGGGGCAGAGGACGAAGGTGTCCTTGAAGGCGTTTATCCGCCGCTGTCCCCGCCGGATGATCACCGCAGCCAAAGCCTGGAGTTACGCAAACACGACACGGCCGCTCCGCGCAGTTCGGATCTGCCCACCTGCAGCTCTGCCCATGCTGGTGTTCCTCCCACAGCCCGTCCTGCACAGAGACCAGAAAGGAAACCAGTTGGGCGAAGCGGCGCCACCAACGGCGCAGCTCTGCCGCCTCCCCGAGCCCAGAGGTGCAGCATCGCGCAGAGCCGCAGCCCCGAGCTGCGCTGGGTGTCAGCGAGGCTCCACGCAGAGCTCCGGCCGCCCCCCGTCCCCCCCGTCCCCATTTTCCACACTGCCGCCTCTCCCCACGGGGCCGCACGGCTCTGCTGAGGCTCGCACCCGGGCTGAGTCACCAACAGATCCCATTACGCCTTAATCCTCCTCCTTCCCCTCCCTGCCCAGCGCCGAGTTGTGCGCTTTGGCGGCGCGCTCGTTTCCAACCCGGCGGGGCAGCAGGGAGGGCAGCGGTGGATCGATGCAGAGCAAACAGGCGCCGCCTGCTGTGGGGAGCCGTCGGGGATCAAGGGAGCGCTGGCGGGACGACGAGGGGCCGCTCGGCCGCGAGCCCGGACGAATCCGTCAAGCCGACTCCGCGCAAGCTCCGCGCTCAGTCACACTCGCGCCACACGGAAGGGATTCGGGGACCAATGAGGGCCAACGAGCCCAAATACGGCGACCTCCGTTGAACCAATGAGCGCTGCTCATCTCGCCAGGACCGGGCGCTGCGGGCAGGGCTCACGGCGCAGGAGATCCGCGCAACCGAGCGCCGGCAGCAGCGCAGCGCCGCGGGTTCTGCCGGTCACGAGCGGCGCCTCCACGTGGCTCGGGGCGGCCGGCGGGCAGCGGGCCCGGCTCCTCGCTGGTGCGGCAGCGCGGGCCAAAGGCTGGCGGCCCGCAGCGCGCAGCCGCTCCCCGTTCGCTCTCCTCTCCGCGCGGATCGCGCCTCCTCTCCAGCGGCTGCAGCCGGCCGTGCTGCTCCGTTTCGCCCAGCGCGGGGGCGACCCGTGGGAGCTGCTGACCTGAGTGACGAGCGACCGTGGAGATCAGACAGGAGCTTTCGGAGCCCGCTACCAATAAGGAGCGCGGCTGATGGCACTGTTGATGCTAAGGGTGATGCTGCTGTCGAGGAGGCGCTGCACGGAGCTCTGACGGCGGCGAGGCCCTGATTCGATAGGTCACAGGAGCGAGGCTCTTGCCCCTCCTGGTGCTCCCTGAGCCTCCAGATGCAGCAGTGTGCACCCAGCAGAGGATAAGATGGATGTGGATTTGTCCTCGTCCCACATCCCTCCTCTGTTGCCTCCCCCCGTTCGTTGGATGAGGAGTCAGCGACGCTTCGTGACTCGCGCCTTGCTGCGGGAACAAAAGGACCTGTTGTCGAGGATCAGGATCTCGATCCTAAGGACTCTCAGACCATTCGGCAGTGACACCGAGCCGCATCCGAAGCCGTGCTGCCTGGGCTGAGCCGTCTGGAAGAACAGCTCGTCGGTATTGGTGTCGCGGTCCGGGGGGAAAAGGGAGGGCGGCGTGTCTGCAGAGCGAGGAGCATCACCTGCAGGAAGGACGGCCTCGGAGGGACAGGCAGCCTCAGTGGGCGGCGCGATGCTGAGGGTGGTGAGGTGTTGGATGTGGCACGGAATCGGTGGGGGAGGAAGCTGAACACTGCTGACGTGTTTTTTGGAAGCAGGGAAGAAGGGAGGAAAAGGTGAAGGGCTTCAGAAAGGAAAGGGTGCAATAGGGGAGAACTGAAGGCTGAGGGAAAGGATTTAGGAAAGCGGCGTTGGCCAGGTCAGCATTTGGTGGTCGAGGAGGGAAAAGAAGAGTCCTCTGATCCAGAGCAGGAGCCAGATTTATTTCCACCCGACCTGGATGGCTCTGATCCGGGACAGAGATGGAAAGGGGCAACCGAGGCTGCTTATAGAAGGAGCGATGCTGCCAAAATCTTTTACTGCCCCGCTTGTATTATGGGGAAAGGCACGGAATGGCCTGGGCCAACATCTCAACTGCCACGGTGGAGCTAGGGAGATTCAATTGTTTGGCTGGCATTGCTGAGCTACCTAACTACAATTCAGCCTTGGAACGGAGGTATTTGATAGAGAATCTCTGGAATATCTCAAGGCTGCACCACAAGAATTGCATTTGTCAGGTCAGTACATGGCAGCGTGTTTGTATGATGGGTTCCTATGATGGATGGGATGAAAACACTTGGGGGCGCCTGGCAGCACGTTGTTACTTCATGGAATGATTGCTGCTGCTCGGTCCAGCAGCCCTGGAGCAGGATGCAGAATCTCACCATGCGGCCAAAGGCACAGAAACCACGGGGACTCGCGTTGCCCCGGCTGCTTTTTGATCGGGCAAGGCGTGGAATCCCCTGGAAGCTTTGGGTCTGGATGGATGGCTGCAGGCCTGCTTAAATATGGCATTGTGCTGTTAATTGTGGTTTTGTCTTCTCATTTGCATACCTTGCTGCTTACTGTGCAAGCAAGGCACGATTACATGCAGCACTCTGCGCTCTTCATGGGAAAAGGAATCCCGCTGTCTGGGCCCCCAATTCCTACGGCCCCTTTAAATAACAACAAAAGGGGGCGATGTGGAGAAACTGCGAGGCGTTGGGGCACAGGGGAACGTTGGCCCGACGATGAGGGGCCTCTTACGGCTGCGAGCCCGGATGGATTCGTTAAGCCATAGCTGCAGGAGCTCAGTGCTTGGTCACGCTCCTGCAGAACACGGAAGGGATACGGGGACCAATGATGGCTAACTGGATCCCGCACGGCGACCTTTATTAAACCAAACAGCGCGTTCCCATCCCACCAGGACCAGGCGCTGCACCGCGCGAGCAGGGATCACAAGCAGGCAAAGTGCACAACCGAGCAGCGGCAGCGCAGCGCTGCGTGCGGCCCCGCGGGGCTCCGCCGTTCAGGAGCGCAGCCGCCCCGCGCAGGGAGGACGCAGAGCGCAGTGCAAGCGCTCCGGGCTTCCTCACGGCCCCGCCGGCCCCCACAGCAGCAGCGGTCAGGGACCCCCACGCGGCACCCCCTGTGCGCTCGGCTCCCATCCGGGTGCGGCTGAACGGGAAACTTCCAAGGGAAGAAGCGGGGAATTTTGGAGCGCGTTGCGCCGCTTCGGTGCCGGCTCCGCGCCTCCCCCGCCCACCGGGGATCCCGAAGTCAAAACGCAGCCAAAGATGAGGCAAAATCCTCCAAAACGCACCGAAACCCAAACGCTCGGCCGTGAGCTCCGCTGCCAGAAGGGGCTCCTTTCCCAGGCGAAACCGAGCAGCCGCTCCCTGCCCCGTCCCTGCGCCGTCTCACTGCGCCCAATTCACTTCCAAAGCGGGCGGGCAGACAGCAGGGCGCCGCGGCCCGCAGCCCTTCCCTCGGCGTGGCTCTGAGTCACCCTCCCACGTCAGCCCGTCCTCGGCTCGCCCTCCTGGCACCGCTCAGCTCTGACAGCAGCCCTTTCCCCCCCCCCCCCAGCAGTGGCCCAGGAGCTCCGGCACACGCCACGAAGGCGCCGACCCCGCAAACCCACCCTTGGGCTGAAGGGCTCTGCAGGTTCAGAGGGTCCTGGCAGCTTTAAACCAAACCAGCCGCAGAACTGGGAAAAGCTCTGCGGGGAGAGGGCGGCTTCGCCGGGTTTGGACCGAAGCAGCGCAGTCAGACCCCGCCTTCCTGGGGCGTTATGGCAATAAAGGCACCGCGACCCGGCAGCTTTATAATGAGCCCGTCCCCTTTGCCCCCCAGGAGCCCAAGGAGTGCAGCGCTCTTGGAAAGGAAGACCCACAAGGGAAGCAAATGGGTGCGCAGCGCTCAAAGGCAAACTGAAAGCTCAGAGCTGTGAAGGTAAAGCTCGCCGTTCCCCAGTGCCGGGATGGGAACCGCAGCCCAGCGTTACGCTTCAGAGGTAGGAAGCAGAAAAACAACGCTGCGAATTGCTCATCCCACAGCACGAAAACAAAGAGGAATTCAGGCCTGGAGCCAGGGAAGCAAAGCACTCAAACAGCCAAGCAGCAGCAGAGCGCTCTCAAAGGAGCGCGGGGCCCAAAGCAAAGCAGCGCTGAAGCGCTCTGCTGGACGGAGGCCATGAAGTCGTCCTGCGCTGCTGCCCCGCTCCTTTCTGCGCAAAACCACGGCGTCCTGCAGCCACAGCGGGGAGGTGAGAATAAATGCGCGCTGCTGGTGCTGCAGAGGAACAAACCTCCCTGCTGGGAAATGCAACACCTGCACTCCCCGGTGAGCCCACAGCGCAGCGCCGGCTGGGACGGCCCTGCAGGGAGCTCAGGGCAGCAGGACAAACAGGTCTGAAAGCCTGCAGCGCTGCCTCACCTGGTCGTGGGCTCCACGGCTCGAGCTCCTCTCACGGGTGCTTTTCCAAAGCTGCTGCAAACAGGCGCCAGCAGGAAGCCCCAGACCGGACCCGCTGGTTGGGCCGGCTTTCAAACAGGAAATCCTTCAGGATTTCCAAATCTTTTAGGATTTCCTGCACAGAGCAGCGCCCGAGATTTGCCGGTGGGGAAGGGGCGCAGCCAGCAGCCCGGCCGCGCAAGGAGCTCTGCCTGCCCAGCACGGGCACGGCGTGGGGGGAGGAAGGGCTCTCCGAGCGCGGATAAAAGGAGCCGAGGAGCCTCCCGGCTTCACAACGCCTCCCAGAGGAGCCGGGCGTGGGCTGGGAGCGCGGCGCTCACCTTCCCCCCAAAATCCGGCCGTGCCACACGGGAAGCAGCAGGCAGGGCTGTCGGGAAATGCGGACGCGTCTTCGGCAGCGGGCCGCGAACGGCGGGAGGGGAGGAGCGGGGATGGAAGCGCCACGTTCCGAGTTCGGATCCCGACCCCCGCAACGCGCCGCGTTTGGAGCTCAGTGCTGAAGGGCGGGGCGATGCTCGCTGCTCCCCCCATCGCGAACCATCCCTAATTACTGCTGTCATTAATTGCGTCCGCCGATATTTCGCATCGCCGTTTGAACCCCCGGCAGCTGCCGGGATTCCTCCCAGCACACAGAACCGCCCGCTGTGCCACCCGCGCCCCCCGGTTTCCCCCGCCCTCACCTCGCTGCGCTGCCGCCGTTGCCGCTGTTTTTCCTCCTTTTTCCCCCTTTTTCCTCCTCCTTCCCTTCAGCGCAGAGGCGCGGCCCGCACGCCGCCAGGCCTACGCCGGGAGGGCGGACTTAGGGCGGAGGAGGAAGGGCGGGGGGAGGAGAAAGCGGCAAATAAACAACCACACGGCGGGGCCGGGCCCGGAGCCGCCCTCCCCCGGCCGCCGGTTCGCCTTAAGGCGGGGGAAGGCCGGCAGAGAGCGGCCTACGGGCCGGGCCTTCACCTGCGGCCTACACGGGCAGCGCCTGCGGCCTAACCTGAGGCCTATGGGCCGGGCCTACGCCTGCGGCCTACACCTTGGGCCTGGGCCCAACCCTCCCAGCAGCCGGCCTGCGGAGCTCCGGGTGTCCCCCGTGCCCGGGGCCGCTCCGCCTCTCCCGACAGCCCGCGCGGTGCCGACGCCCCGCCCTCAAGGCCGTGCCGGGCCGTGGCGCGGATTGGGGGCCTGGGCCGGGCGGTGGTCGCCGCCGTCATGGAGCGGTTCTTGGAGGGGCGGCGGGCGGCCCTGCAGGTATGGCTGGGAGGGGGCTGCGGGGTTGGGAGACGCGGGGGGATGCGGGACAGCGGGTAGAAGGGGATACGTGGGGGTGGGCGTAGAGGGGGTTTGGGTTTGGGGACACGGGAACACCGCAGGGATGCGGAGGGTGTGGAAAGTGGGACTCGTGGGGACGGGGGCGGGCAAATCCCACAGACTGCACAGTGTGGGGTGCAGGGGGACGAGCAGCACGCAAATGGGGGGGTGCGACCCCCATTACCTCTGCAGGAGCCCATATTTCCCCCCCCCGCCCCAGGGCTGGAGGTGACAGCGCTGTGCCCTGCACGCCTGCACCCCTCCGTGGAGCTCCTCCACCCCGGCCCTGGAGCCACAGCACACGGGTGGCTGGGGGGACCCCCTCCCCACGTCCTCCCCTTCTTTGGGGCTTTTGGCAGGAGGTGGGGGACCTGCAGTGAATGGCACAGGCGCTGGGCTCGGCCCGCCGCTGTTTACTTCTTTGGTGGAATACATAAGGGAATCTGGGTTGTACTGTGAAGTATTTGTCACTGGGGAAAAATCTGCAGGCAGGGCGTCACCCTGCAGCGTTGTGTGCTGTGCTGAGGGGAGGGATTTGGGGCAGAGGATCTGTGGCGTGACAGTGGGGTTCCTGCTGCTGCCTGGGCTGAAAGGGGCATTTTGGGGGTCAGAGCCCCACACTGAGAGTGTCTGCTGGCTGGGTGAATTGGGGCAGCAGCTAGGGCTGAAAGTTCCGCTTGCTTTTCACCACATCCAGAAAACTCACTTTGGTCTGAGGTTAAACTAATAAGAGTCCACAGTGGGTCCTCCATCTCCCATGGGTGCCGCATCCCTGGGTGGGGGAGGATCTCAATTTCCACTGCTGCAGTGCTGTGTGACCTGCTTGGGTTTTTCCTCTCCCAGTTTCTCACTCGTGTGCTGTTAACATGAGGCTTTCAAGCCACAGAGCAGCCCTGCCTTGGGTTTCCCATTTGGTTTGCCCATTCCCTGCGAGCTGCTTCTGGGGGTGCTGCTGTGTGAGGCCACAAATGGCTCCGCGCGCCCCCAGCTGTGTCCTTCGGGGGCTTTTGGGGGCAGATGCGTCCCAACGGGGCTGACATCTCACTCTTTGGCAGGAGCACATCCAGCGTCGCCAGGAGGTGCATGTGGTGATGGGCAACGAGGCCTGCGACCTGGACTCCACCGTGTCTGCCCTGGCGCTGGCCTATTTCCTGGCAAAGGTGAGGCTGCCTGCGTGCTGCTGGGCAACCGAGGGGCTGAGGGGACGCCGCGCCGGGTGCTGATCCCCCCATGCAGACCTCCGTGCCACCCAGAGCCGCCTTCATCCCGGTGCTGAACATCCCACGCGCCGACTTCGCCCTCCGCACGGAGACGACGTTCCTGCTGCGGGAGCACAGCATTCCGGACTCCTCGCTCATCTTCCGCGATGAAATCGACCTGGCAGGGCTGCACAGCGCCGGGCTGCTCTCACTGACCTTGGTGGATCACCACGTCCTGCCCAGGTGAGCACCAGGATGGGATGCGGCTGCGCTGTGCCGCTTCTTCCTCCCCGTCGTGAAGCAGTCAGATTTTAGCCCAGGGTGGGTAAAACCTTTGCCCTTCTGGGGTATTTTTAAGGCAGGAGGAGAGGAGCAGAGGGGTCTCTGCTGACAGTGGTGCATGGCAGGGGCGCGCCGGGGCTGTGCCAGGGCTCTCACCGTCCCCATCTCACCCGCCAGCGCTGACGCAGCCCTGGAGGAGGCCGTGGTGGACGTGCTGGACCACCGGCCGCTGGAGCGGGAGTGGGCACCCAGCTGCCAGCTCACGGTGGAGCTGGTGGGCTCCTGCGCCACGCTGGTGACGGAACGGATCGCCCAGGGCCCCCCAGGCGTGCTGGACCGGACCACGGCCGCGCTGCTGCACGGTGAGGCTGCCAGTCGGGCTCTGCTCCCCCGGCGTGGGGCTCTGCTCCCGTGTGCCGACAGCCCCGGTCCCCGCAGGCACCATCCTGCTGGACAGCGTGAACCTGAGCCCCGCGGCCGGCAAAGTGACGCCCCGCGATGTGCGCTGCGTCTCCCTGCTCGAGTCGCGCTTCCCGGAGCTGCCGCCCCACGACAGCATCTATGGAGCTCTGCAGGCGGCCAAGTTCAACGTCTCAGGTCTGGTGCTGGGGGCTCGGCGGCGCCGTGCCGGGTGCTGTGCTGTGTCTGTGGTGCTCGCACTCAGCCCCTCTCTCTTCCCAGGGCTGACGACGGAGCAGATGCTGCGGAAGGACCTCAAGACTGTCTCCGGTGATGAACAAGTCCTCGCCACCAGCGGCATCTACATGGACATAGAGGTGAGGCTCAGCAAGGGGGCTGAGGCCCGGCGCTGTGATGTGTGACACCGACCTCTGCCCTCCTCCTCCAGCTCTTCCTGCGCCGCCCCGGTTTGCTGCAGGACCTGGAAGCGTTCTGCCAGGCCCGTGGCTACTCTGTGCTGGTGGCCATGACGGTTTCCTTTAACGAGTGCTATGAGCCTAAGCGGCAGCTGGCGGTGTACAGCTGGCATGAGGCCCTGCGGAGCACGGTGAGCCGGCACAAGGGTGTTTCATCCTTAGAGCAGGGCGTTTTGTCCTTAGAAGTCCCACCGTTCAGGGCCAGGGGTGTCAGAGCTGCACAAAGAGGCTGCCTTCTGTCCCCTCCAGGTGTGCCGTGCGCTGGAGGAGGCCACAACCCCGGCGCTGCAGCTGCAGGCCCTGCCCAGCCCCTGGCCCTGCATCAGCGCCTACACGCAGGGCAACACGCTGGCCTCCAGGAAGAAGGTGCTGCCCATCCTGCGGGCCACTCTGGGGGGGACGCCGGGCACCGCAGCAGGGATGGAGGAGGAGGTGGCCCCCCCACCCACCCCGATGAACAGCCTGGTGGAAGAGAGCCCGCTGGCACAGGCTGTGCCCCCCGTCTGCCCCCAGGCTGTGCTGGAGCGGGTCAGCCGCATGGCCGCCGAGCAGCCGCCCCCCGACTGTGACAAGTGAGGGGCCGAGGTGGCGCTGGGGTGCTGTGGGGTCCCGTCCCCAGCATGGAGCCGCTGCTTCCTCTGAGCCCAGCTGGCTGCCGCAGCCCCCTCCTCACTGCCGACTGCCCCAGTGCCCCCCCTTCCCACCGGGGTTGGTGCTGTGGGGCCGCAAGGAGCCGGGCAGCACACGGCCCACGAAGGCACCGGGGCTCTTAAGGAATTCTTCCCCTCCTGGCCGTTGGGGGCTGAAGTGCCGCAGCTGGGCACGCAGCTGCCTGGAGGCCGTTAGCTGCCATTTCAGTACTAAATTTGCCTCTTCCCCCCCACTGCTGGCTGTCGGTTTTTCTTCATGAATCCCCAGTGCTGCCCCACAACCCCCCAGGTTGTGCTGCATGGCCCCACGGGTGCCCCCCCTCCTGGGCTGGGTTGGGGGTGTGATGGAGCCGAACCCCCACATCCAGCCCCCCGTCCCCCCACACTGAGCAGCCTGGGCAGCCCGTGGGCCCCATCTCTGCCTAGCACAAGATTTTATTTCAAAGGTGGGGTTTTGTTGTTTTTCCAGTGGGTTTTCCAGGGGGATAAAAACTGACTCAAGCATCCGTGCTCACCGTGGGGCTGAGCAGCCCGGCAGCCCTGGGAGCATAGGGGAGGGAAGGGGAGCTCGGCTGCCCGCGTGGCTCCGGCCTCTCGTTCATCTCGTTCCTGTTCAGCCCCGGCGCGATTTGAACTATGTACACGTGCGCCTGAATTGGGAACCTGAGAGTCCCTCCTTCCTGGGGGAGCAGCCGGTGCCGGTGAAAGCCTGGCGGTAGCAGGAGAGGCCAAGTGGGGGATTTTGAGCTTTAAAAAAACCAAAAAATCTCCTACAAAAGAAGGAAGGCGGAGGCTCGCTGGCGGCGATGCCGGCTGAAGGCTGGAGGAAGTGCGGCTCGGTGGCAGCGCTGGAGCTGCAGGGCGCCCGATGCCGGGGCTCCGAGGCTCCGCAGCGCCTCCCCCGCTCGGCCCCTGCAGCGCAGCCCGCCCCGCTGCCGTCCGACGGGGAAACCAAGGCGTGGGGGGCAGCGCCGGGAGGGGCCCGTGGGAGACAGCAGCGCCGGCTGGAGTGTGGGGAAAGGGAGAAGGCGGAGGATTTGGCACATCGTGGCCGTGCGCGGCGTCTCCCGGTGCGGGCTGCGCTGCTCTGCTGCCCCCTTCATCGGTGGAAGGGGGGACCTGCGGGGGTTGACCCAGAGCTGCTGGGACGGCCGTGGGGCTCCACCTGCATGAGTTAACGCGGGAATCGAGCGCTCCAGGTTGGCTTTTCCTCCGGTGTGGGGATCAGGCAGTTCAAGTTCGGGCTGAAAGAGCCAAGAACCTGCAGTTGGAGAGACGGCAGGTTACAAAACTGCCCGAGCGGCAGCTCGTTAGATGCCTTAATTAGCAGCGTGCCTCGGACGGTGACAGCGGGCGCTCGGGGCTCCCCGCTCCTGCCCGGCTTTGTACTCACGATGCTACAACACGCGGGAGCTGCTCCACTGCCGCTCCCGTCCGCCTTTGGACCTCATCTCCTGCACTGCGCCTGTCTGCAGGGAGAGGAGAAACGTTTCACCACCGCGGCGACGGCTTCACCAACCCGGGGCGCCCGGCACCGAGGAGGAAACGCCGCCGCGCCGCCCGAGGGCTGCAGCCCCCCGGAAGGGCAGCACGCGGACGGAGCCGCTGCACAGGGTGGGATCGCGGCAGCCTCGCGCGGAGCCCCCGGCCCCAGCCGTACCATGGGCAGCCCCTCGCCCGCAGCCATGTCTCCGGAGCCGATGTGCGTCAGGTGCACGAAGTTCATGGGCTCGCCGATCATGGAGCGGTCGATCCGTCTCCTCCTCTTCTTCTGCGTGGGGATGAAGGCC